ACACGGTCCGACTTAGGAAATGATTATGCATACAATGGACTCACGACAAGTTGCGCTTCTATAAGTCTTCCTACCATTATGACCAAGTAGCGTAAACAAGGTCAAACAACTTAAATAATTTATATATTTTTTAAATTATGTAATTTAATTAGAAGCCTTTATTTGAAGTTAAGTTTTGGTATATTTTTTGTCCTCATTTTTCTGATAATTTTGTTGCTCATGTTAGAATGTTGGTTTAGAAAAAAACTATATAGTTGCATAGGCCAATCATTAGGATGTATTAGTCATCTTTCGAATTTGCCTATAGCATTGATATGATCTTGATAAAGAGCAGTATGAAGATAATATTATTAAGTGAAATAAATATTGTTTTGAAAACTTGCTAATGCTTTTTTATCAAACGTTTCATAAAATTTTATTAACACTGCGTTTAGTTGGCAGACGTTTTCGTCGTTAAGATTTAGGAAATATCGTCTATAAGTATTATAAATGAATGGAACTTGACCCATCTTTGGTAGTTTCGTTCTAAAAAGGTTCACTATATCTTATTACTCTTATGATTGTGAGTCGCTTTCAAAGCTAGCGTCAAATTTCCCCGTTAATCCTTATTTAAGACTAACAAGTACATCTTAACTTAATTTGTGACTTAGGCTTATTCAGATTTTCTTTATTTGAAAGTGATACTTTTCAAATGATTGGATATTGTTTACAAATGAAATTAACCTAGGGCATCTTTATTTTAGTCAGATTTATGCCTATAATTACTCTTTGCTACTAACTTTTAATCTAAAACTTTTAGTTGATTATAATGAAGTCACTAAATCATTTCCTTACCGATAGAAACTTGACATCCACCAAAAAATGCATCTGCTTCCTTCGTTCCTCTTCTTCTATACTTTCTTTGCTTTTCTCTGAGGTATTTTTTGTGAGCTGACATTTAAGCACCTCTCACTTTTTTTGAACTGAATAAGATGCACGCGATTATTTAACGACGGAAATTACTTTTCCTACTTTTCTTCATAAGATTAGTATTTTCTATGCTTTAACACAGACGCTTCACTTCATCCTCTTTAATACTATTTGTTTTCCATTTTTACATACCTATCAATACTACGCATTTTTACATTGAACTAGATGTTTTACTCTAGGTTTGTTTTCTTCATCCACTGTCTCTTACTCATTTCAACTAGGCTAGAGAGCCATGAAAGTGATCTAAAGGTTATTTCACTTTCTTCTCTCATGCTTAAGAGTTGCCTGGCTTTATCCTCTTTTTTAGGTTTGTTTAAATTGTATTGGTTAATTTACATCCATCACCGTATCTTATTTCTATATATCTTCTAATTCTTCTAACTCAGGACTCCCTTGCTGATCGGATCAGCGAATTCGGATTTAGAATGCATGGCTCTACAGATGATGAATACGAAGATGATGAGGACGGTGAAGATTATCTCGATGATGAGTATGTTATTGACTCCTTAATTTTTAGTTTTGGTCTAAAAATTCTATTTGAAGCAATAAGTTTAAAGTCTTTGGCGGGCTTCGTCATTAAGGCTAAGGTAAATCAATCACTTCATTACCGCTTACATAGGAATATATTGCATTATTTAATAAGTCGCAATTGTGACGAGCTCAGCGAGAGCCAAGCCCAACCCGATGTAAACTGAATAACCTCTCAAAAATATTCTTATTTCTTCTATCTTTAATAAAGTAAAATTTCATAAAATTGGTTTTAGTTAAATGTCATGGCTAGAGACCTGAAGACGTTTTACCAAAAAGTTAAACCTATGGTTATGGATCGTAGATATAAAGACTAAAGAGATGTGGTTTTAAGTTTGTTCACATTCTCCTTTAGCTGTATTGAATCAGTATGCAAGGGGCAAATTTTGGGAAACATACCCAGTCCTGTGTCTTTTTTTATAGTAGTCATGTTAGTTTTTGCATTAGACATAACTGTACATTCCCGGACGTTTCGCTTGCATCGTCATTCAAAAGCGCCAACCTATGCATTTAATTACAACTCGTCGAGTAAATTTTTCCGTTCAAAATCTTATGATATCTCTCCTCCCCCCTGTCTTTGCTTCTAGTGCTGTATCCTCATCCCTTAAACCAACTTCATATGACCATTTTACTTATCGACGCCTATCTGTTTCTTCCTATGTCTACTGGAAGCTCTTAATTTCAAGTGGATTTAATGAAGCATAATCGCTTTCATCTCAGTTCCCAAATTTCGTTCGTAGGGCTCTTGGTACTCAATCAGCACTCATTTAATCATCCATTCTACCCAACTTCTCTGGTGTACATTCTCTATTTATAGGCCCTCGATTCCAGCCCTAGTTAGCGTTATAACCATATGACTGCCCTCAAAAATATGACAGGACATGTGCAGTAACTTTAGATAGGATCGCTCTTAATCCGTGATTCTTACGCGTGCAGTTTTTGGAAACCCTATGTCCCTGCTATTATCTTCCCCACCACTCCATTATCCAATTCAGTAAGGCTTTGTATCTTGCCTCATTTCGGATCACTACCTTGAAGATATGCCTCTTTATTTTTTCATTTCTGTATAAAGTTGAACACTCCTGTTCTCTCACATTTTTAATCCCATCTAATTCGTATGTTCTACTCAGTTAGTTTTGTGTGTACTATAGATACGAAGAGTAACTGAGTTTCGATGAACCTCTGCAAGAGTGTGTCTATTGATCACTAAATACCCCTTTCAGGAATTTAATGATCTACTCACCATATACCTACACAAATACTTAGCCCATATCCTGAGGACCACCTGATATTATACACCCAACCCCTACTGGCCCCTGAAATAGATCTAGATTTTGAACATAGTATCCCTAATGACATGCACTTCAAACGTATATAACTCCTGAATAGACCCGTCCCGGCGAACACTTGATTCTAATCCTAGGCTTGAATCCTTTCACTGCAATATACCTTTCTTGAATTCTCTTTGTCTCTCGACATTCTTTTCTAGGCGATGTCTATTCCTGTCGTTCGAATAATTTATTTGATCCAAGCGTATCCTTTTTGTTGTTCTTGTCGGAATCTGGGTCTGTCCAAATTTAGTGGCTTATTCATCCTAGGTCGCTAAAGGTTAATTTAAGACTGATAGTGTTGGTTCGAGGTTGTTTTCGCAACTTAGTCGGAGCCTCATGGGGAGCTTATGGAACGTACCTGGTCCCTTGTGGAATTTTGGCGTATTGGATAAAGTGTCGATATTATACGTGACACTGTCACATTTCGGGTTTAACTGGGGATGTTGATAAGACTTAGGCGTGGTCGAAACTCTACTTATATACGGAAAAAATGTGTGCCCTTTCTTGACAAGTTTAGTGTGGCCACATTACATCTGCTATTCACCTTTGTACCCTCTCTCTTGGTCGGCTAATCCGACTTGGGTCTTTTATCCGAATCTGCCTTGTGGTCCTGTAGACCCGTTTTTAACTTTCTGGTTGACCGATTTCACTCGGTTCCAGTCCCAGTGTGCGCTATTTCACAAGGCTTCTAGGGCAATTACACTGCCGCCTCATTGAGCAGAGCGCCTAGGCTCTGATTCCCATGCTTGCTGATATCAGGCATTGCCTTCACGGATCGTCTTCTTGATTAAACCCGTGTTACCTGAGCAAATTGTGGACACCTATATCTGGTTGCATGCCACATCTCAAGTGGATTTCTATTACATTCTTGACATAATACTGAATTTCTGTGACGGTTATGCTTATTCGTCTCTTTATCTCCCTGACTGACAGGCCTCCAAAGTTGAACTGGTTACTTCGACCAGACAACACTCACTAAGAACTTATTTCCTTTATTTCTGAAATTTCTCCCCTTTTTCTCCGGTTGGCGATAAATCCTTGTTCCAGGCGTCTCTTTTTTGCTGGTCTTACTGTATTCTTATTTTCTCCAGCCTTGCTTAAGCAGTAGGCACATTTATCGCTAACTCTGTCTTCGCAGTCTGGTCACAGAAAAGAAAAACTTGAAGATTTTCTGAAGTTTATTAACCAGATTGATGAAAAAATAAGATTTATGATGAAAGTAGAAGAATGTAAGTGGCTACTTAGATGTTGAAGTGATTGGCTCTAATGGTATGTTTAAGAAGAAAAGGTCAAGAAAGAAATCTTTTATTCGTATTAGAGTAGGGTTTCGAGACTACCACTATCTCATTACAAGAAATCTTTTACCGGGATAATACCAAATTGTCAATCCTATAACGACTGCATGCTGAGGGTAGGAATAATGAGGAGCATGATCACCTGAAGCCTACGTTTAACGGATGTTGAATTCTGGGATGAAGAATTGGACAAATTGAATGGGATAGCCCTCGAAAACGGCTACCCAAGCGAAGTAATGTAAAGTAACATACGGCCCGGGGACTACGAAAGAACAGTGAGAACGGAGATGGATTCATAAAAGTTGATATGCCTACCTTCCTTCCAACGAACTCAAAAACTACGGCCAATATTAAGGAAATGGAATATTGGGTTGACCATAAAGGAAAAAAACAACACTTGTTACAAAGGGTACACAAATCGGAGTGTCCAGAAGTTTTCTGCAAAGCATGTGGCGCCTGCAAACATAAATATATTGGCGAAACAGGGAGTAAAATTAACATACTAATCAAGGAACATCAAAGGCTCTGCAGAAAAATGGATACCGAAAGATCAAAATTCGCGGGAAACATCACACAGACTGAACATTAGATCAATTGGAAGGCAACAGAAAGAGGGGTCTCCTATGGTGAAAACACAAGGAAGCGCAAGTTTAGGGAGGCCATTGTCATACTTGAGAAAAAAATCTAATAAACAAGAGAGTGGAGGAAGGGAGAGTTAGCAATATATTTGCCTACTGCTTAAGCAAACTTAGAGAAAACAAGAATTCAACAATACTAGCAAAAAGAGACGTCTGAATCCAGGCAATGTCTGATATCTGCAAGCATGAGAATCAGATTAGAGTAGGGTTTCGAGACTCGGTGAGGCGGCAGTGTACGTGCCCTAGAAGCCTTGTGAAATAGCGCCTGGAGCAAAACGCACACTGGGACTATCAACCAGATGGTTAAGAAATGTATCTACAGGACCACAAGGGAGATTCGGATTATAGGCCTGAGTCAGATTAGCCGACCAAGAGATAGGGGACAAAGGTAAATAGCTGGTGTAATGTGGCCACAATAAACTTGTCAGAAAAGGGCACATATTTTAACAAATAAGAAGTTGTGATATGGTGGGAGCTTGATAAGAGGGTAAGGAGTAGGTTGATGGACTAGGATAGAAAATAAGTGTTAGTGTAACCGCTTAAGGACAACGTTGGTCGATGGATTGATTTACCTGTCTCTTTGACGAGCTTGTTGATTTGTGCGATAAATGGCAAGACTCACTGTTGATGCCGACTCCAATGCCAGCGAAATGTCTGAGAATGTACCAAGTCCACAGTCTAATGATCGCAATTGTGATAACTACTATGACAGAGGACTTCGGATAAGTTGTATTTAACTAAGTCGCCCTGACAACGGCTAAGTTGCTAAAACGAGGTCAGCCCATTTTTATAAATCGTAAAGAGACTACAACAATACTGAAGGAAACTTTCTTGGTCTTCATATCTTCAATTTCCCTCATTCGGTTTCAAAATCCGAGTGGTATACCGTTTCGTTTACATTACCTTAGATAACTAAGTGACAACCTTGATTAATTACCTGCAATCAGTGCATTTTTCGCCAATTTTTCTGCCCTGATTTCATTGTGGATATAAAAATCGAGATTGTATGGCCTTAGGCTTAATTGAAATATCCTTTAGCTGTTTTTAGTTAGTATGCCTCCCTTCTCGCAATTTTGTAAGGGTGACAGAGATCCCTTAACGAACTTAACCAGTCCTTCATTCCCTTCTATACTGCTCATGTTAATTTCCATTCTCGGACCGCTAACTTAGTACATTGCCAGGCGTTTCGCGAGCATCGTAGCAGATATCATCGATGAGAGTTATCATTCTCACTAGATAGTGAGGGCAATCTCCTTGATCAACTTTATGCTCCAACAGTGTGGCGTCTACCCCCATATCGCCTCAATATCTTTCTTCAATCTAACTTTATGAAAAATTTCCTTACCTACATCTCTTATTCTTCCTTTTTTTCCAATAACTTTCAAATGTGGCCCTTCGAATTCTCTAGTAAACGATTAATTTTTATGACCATTTGGATATTAGGTTGGGCCTATACCTGGAGGTCTAAACCAACTTAAATAATTTTTTTCCCTTATTTTTCTTATGCCTCATTCATTTCCCCTCCAGCATCGTGATTCCTGACATCGTTCCTGACATCTCTGTCGCCTCAGTTCTTTTGGTACCTGTCGCCACTCCTCCATCCTCATCTTCATCATCTCCTGCGCATCTTGTATCGAGCTCCGGGCTCACCACTTCTTCGATGCCTACATGTTCTAGTCCAGACCCTAACTCAGCCAAAAGTACCGCTTGCATCTTCAATGACACGGGAGCCAGTGCAAGCAGCAGGCCACTTCCAGTTCCAGAAGCAGCTGAAGTGCCCAGCCAATCTCGGCTACCTGATACCGATAGATTACCATTAACATCCTCCTTGGCACCACCCTTAGTAATTACTGACGCATCTGCTTCTAGCTCCAGCCTCCAGCCGGCCCAAGGAGTAAACAGTGATAGTGGCGGAAGTGGAAGTAGTGCCGGAAGTCGTGACAGTCACATGGTAACCAGTAGTGTAAGTTTGCTCTCCCGCCGCAAACCATTGGGTAAACCAACTCAGCAAGCAACTCCACTTTCAGCCGAAACACAATCTACGGCCGCATCAGGACTGCAACAATTAGCGATAGATAAGCTACCGGCTAAGTCAAAGGCTAAAGAGAGAGAAAGAGACAAAGAGAAAGAAAAGGAAAAACACAGAAAAGAAAAAGAAAAAAGGAAGGAAAAAAAGGCGAAGAAGGCGAAAGAGAAAATGATGGAGGTTATTGCTAATAGTAAACCGATCAAACAAGAAAGCAAACCTAATGAGCAGGAGAACGGTTTTTCCGGTGGCGAAGATCATTGGATACTCACCAAAAAGTCTTCGCGGCAAGAAAAAGTTTCTCCGGGGGCTGGAATAGTTGATTTTAAAAAGATTTCTTCTTCCGATGATAATGGTGCTCGACTTAAGCTTCACTGTTCGAATTCGTCTGCACCATCTGTAACAGCATCATCTGAGGTTCCAGCCGGTAGGAATTCTGGAAAGGAACGTAGCAGTCGTATTGGAGGGCATCCACTGCTACCTTCTCGTATCATCCGACGTAAACAACCGGTTTCTGTCTTAGCTACTCCATTAACTGATCGACCTTCTCTACAAGGAAGCCCAAATTCCGCTTGTGTCAGTCAATCTCGAGGGATAGCACCTACTTTGGTCACGTTGGCTGATGCTGATTCGACCACATCTACCACGACCGCACCCGTTTGTACATCCACTTCTGAGAATGCGCCTTCGAGTCTTCTTAATGCTGCTGATTTTACTTCCAATTCTTCGTTTTCTGAGTCACAGCTTACTAATGATGCCCTTGCAAACTTTTATCCTGATAAAAGTGGGCAGTAAGTTCAGCTTAGACTAAGAGTTATTTTTACGAAATCCTTCTCATGCATTTGATATATCAGCATTATTTTGTCCACTTAGTATTAGATTTAACTATTTTAATAAATCGTAAATATGAAGACCAAGATGGTATGGGCTTCTCTTTGGCCGAAGTCTCCTTTAGCTTTATAGTGTTGGTTCGTCCTCGTTTTCGCAACTTGTTCGGAGTGTCAGGGAGACCTTGTGGAGCGTACCTAGGCCTCTGTCCTCTGCCATAGTATTCGTGATTTCCAGCATCGGACCATTGACTTGGTACATTCCCAAACGTTTCGCCGGCATCGACGATGGCATCCTTCACCGACGATACCAGCGAAACATTTGTGAATGTACCAAGTCTGTGGTCTGATAATGGAAATCACGAATACTCTGGAAGAGGATACAGGACTAGGCACGTTCCACAAGGTCTTCCTGGCGCTTAGACCATAATACGAAAATAA